GAGTTGGATTTGTCTTTGTATGAGTCTGATAGGAGTTTTGTGCTGATTAGTGTGTCGGGTTTGGTTTGGAAAGGCGAGGCTGGCCGGAAGCAGCAAATACCTGGGAGCCAGTGGGAAATCTGTTGCAGTGTTCGGATATTATCGATGCATTTGAAGAAAGGTTTATACTCTGTCCCTGTTGTTAATATGTTTTTGTTCTATTCAAATGATAAGCTATAGTGTGCTTGTTAATCAAAATAGTTGGAAAGATAATTATGTTATTTCAGGCCATCTCATGGTTTTCCCCTTACTTGTTCTTTAATTTTTGGATTCTTGTTGCTCTTTTTTTTAATTCAAAGCCTGAAACCGGGAAAAAGTAGGTCTACACGCAAAAGGAAACGCAAGGCTAGTGTAACTCACGTTCAGACCAAGAAAAAACAACAGGACAAACAACAGCACCAGCAGAGGTCCCCTGCAGCCGCCACATATAGCGTGCCCTCACATGTGATAAGGATTGCCGACGAGCCTATGCTCTTTCCCAGGCTAAACAACTTCACCTCTGCAAGTGAGAGTGGGCAAACTACTGTATATGGCCAAAACAGTCTCGAAATTTCCAAGAAAGCAAATGAGAATGGTGCAAGAATTGTGAGAGAAGAAGAAAAGGAACAAAAGGAGTGGAACTTGAAACTCTCCGAGCTGAAGGGGGCAATGGTGGCCGGCCAAGAAGACTCTGACAGGCTGGCTCAAACATCCGAAGAAGGCCAACAGCCAACGGGAGATGATTTGGCGAACGAATTAAGAACTGAGGGGGTGAATCCTGTGCAAACCGGCCGTTTTACCGGAGCTAAAAAGAGGAAATCGGGTTTTGTGAAGAGGTTCATGAAAGATCCAGAGTCGTGCTCTATGGATGATGCAGCGAATGGGGTGTCGGCTTGTGGGCCCCTTGCGCCGGAAAGTGTTGAGTGCACTGATTTTTTCGGGAATAATATGGGCTGCTGGGATAGTAAGTACGAGAATAATTCCAAAAGCATGTGCGCGATTACCCAGATTGTGAAGCCTATTAGCTATAAGGCTTCCGTGGCAAACAACATCCAAGATGTGTTAGTGGCGTTTGAGGCTGTGAGGTTTGTGATCTAATATTTATTGCTCTTAATTTCATTTTTATCTTATTCCGACCGTAGATATGTTATTTTTATGTGAAGTTGGGAGTATTCTAGGGAGAAAATATCTATGTTGTGCACGTGCAACTGATTACATTTGTTTGTTGTTGTGAGAGATCGTGTTGGCTACTGGTTTATATTAAATAGTTCCAGCTAGCTGACATTCTGTTACAACGTTGTGCTGTCAGCTTGGACTTTTGACTTTCTCGATACTTGTGCATTTATGTTTGATCTAGCCGTTTTCAGGTTTTTTTTTGTTAATGTTCGTTGTATTTGTTAATCTGCAAAAATGAGATAGGATGGGATTTGTTGTGTGGTCTTCTTCAGTGGATGACATGAAAGACATAGTTTATTTCACTGCTTTATTTATTGGAGGATCTGATATATTGTTGTGGAGAATAACGAGTTAACTCAGAAAAAAATGGTCATAATTATATGATGCCATCCTAGAGTAGATAAATATATGTGCACATTGTTTTTTCTTTTAACGGTCTCTCATCCTGTCAAATTTACCAACTTTAGGAGTTCAGTCCATTATTCTTTTCCTGTATTTATCACTCATATTTCCTTTCCTGGATTTCCACATGAAAGAAATTATACATGACATTTATTATTAGTCTTATTTATATTTGCGAAAAATGTAATACAATGCACATTAATTGATGGTTGCACAATTCTCTGGACTAGACAGTTCCTTGTATATCTCTCTGCATTTTTAAACTTATCTTGATGCACAAAGTATATTTAATTTTTAATTATGTGATTAATTAAATAATTTATGTCTTGAAAATGAGACACATGAAAATGAATCTCAGTCTATCATCCTTTTTTTTTTTTGAATTGATTTTCTAAATTTTATTGATTTTTGGCTCAAGACTTGTTTCACAACTTATTTTTCCTGTTAAAACGACATAAATTTCTTGCTGGCTTCAGGTCCGACGGAACCAAAGTGATAGTGGATAACAAGTTTTTAAAAGCTTACAACCCACTTCTAGTAAGTGCTCTATTCTGCTTCATCCTCTTCTTCATATATTATTATTATCATCATCATTATTATTATTGTAATTTTTTACCTTTACCCTCAGACTTGAGTTCATATCTTTCTGTGAAGTTACTTTAAATTCTCGATCTTGTTATGCAGCTCATAGACTTCTATGAGAAAAATTTACGGTACAGTCCAACGTGATGAAAACTGGTCAACCGAGTGGCTAGCAGCAGAATCTTCTAAACGTCCATGTACTGTGTGGTAACTTCTTGTATCAGTAAAAAAAAAAAGCCCTGTAACAAAGTACACCCATAGGAAGTGTGGTAAATATTGTGGTAAATAGTCGTAGCTAAAAAATGGGTATGGTTGTGTAGTTCAGTTTGACCAATTTACCCTTGTATGATCAAGAATGATATGGTGGAAGTTATGAAAACTTTCATTTTCTGCGCAACTCATCCTTTTCGTATATGCTTCCTCTATTTGCCTTATTGATGCAATGGTGTTCGATGTGGCCTATATAAAGTATAAATTCTATTGTAATGGTTAAACTATTTCATTTCGATTTCCTTGATAATCCAAGATTGGTCAGGTCTTTAATCCTTGGCTTTCCCAGGTACGTAAAATTGTTGTGCTCGTCTATTATTTTCCGATCAAACAACGGCATGTTGCATGCGGAAATATTAATTTCTTGTTTGGTAACATTTCGAACAGGGGATAAATTTTTCGAGCATTTGGGTTGCCTTTTGTCCCCTTTCTTTTTTCCCAATATAAGAATTTCCCAATCTGGCAATATGAAAGAGTGTACTGCTGTGTACACAATACCTTTACCCCTTTTTATTTATTTTAAATTGAACCGATGCAAATCTGACTTCTTAGCTTATAAATTGATGTAGCGCAGCTTCGAACACAAGGGAAAATAAGAGATGAAATCTCAAAATCTTTATTCTTATTCAACGAGTTCTGCGTAATGAAAAGAAAAGAGCAGAATAAATAGTCCCAATCCTACTAGGTTTCCTAACATGCTAAACATGGAAATAATATTTAAACAAATACCAACTAAAATAAAGAAAATAAGAAATAATAATAAAAGGGCTAGGAAATAAATAATTAGACTAATGAAGGCAGCCGATCGTATTTCTGGAGAAACGCCATCGCGATCTCGTCTCCATCATCCTCCCTCGGTTGGGAAGGATTCGCCCTCGAATCCGGATCGATCTCGTCGCCATCATCATTATCACCCAAAAATGGCACGAGATGTTTAACGTTGAAGACGTCAGAGGTCTTCAAATGAGACGGGAGCCTGAGGCGGTAAGCATTTGGGTTGATCTTCGCAATGATCTCAACCGGGCCAATTTTACGAGCAGACAGCTTGTTATACTCATGCGCCGAGAAACGATCCTTGGTGAGGACTGCCCAAACAAAATCCCCGACTTCGAACTCGACATGACGGCGACGTGAATCCGCTCGCGACTTATAAGCCGCCGTGACCTCGACCAAGCGAGCCCGGGCCGCGTCGTGAGTGCGCCGCAGGTCGGCCATGAGCTCCTCGGCCCGGCGGTCGGCACCCTCCATCGATGGCAAGGCAATGAGGTCCGCTGCTCCACGAGGGCGAACCGCATAGACAACCTCAAAAGGAGAAAACCCGGTTGCCCGACTCAAAGCTGAGTTGTGGGCAAATTCTGCCTGGCCCAACTTTTGATCCCAACTGCGCAAGTTCTCGCCGACAAGACAACGCAACAAATTGCCAAGTGAGCGATTGACGACCTCTGTCTGGCCGTCAGTTTGAGGGTGGTACGCACTACTGAATTCCAACTTCGTGTCAGCCAGACGCCATAAACTACGCCAGAAATAGCTAAGGAAGCGTGTGTCACGGTCCGAAACAATAGAAGTCGGGAGACCATGCAAACGATACACCTCGCGAAAGAAAAGCTGAGCCACGTGGACAGCATCGGCAGTCCTTCTGCAAGGTATAAAATGGACCATCTTCGAAAAGCGGTCGACGACAACAAAGATAGAGTCATGACCCCGCTGGGTCCGGGGCAGGCCCAAAACAAAATCCATGCTAATAGCACTCCACGGGCGAGAAGGAATAGGCAAGGGCCGATAAAGCCCCGCGTTAGAAGCAACGCCCTTGGACATCTGACAAACCCGACACCGCCCAACAAAACGAGAAACATCACGGCGTAAAGAAGGCCAGAAAAAAGAACGGCGTACCAAATCAATGGAGCGGTCACGCCCCACATGGCCAACTCCGTGCAAATCCGCCACAACCTTCATGCGAAGGCTACAATCAGGAAGACACAACTGGACTCCGCGAAATAAAAAGCCATCAGAAAGAGTATAATCCTCGAAAGGACCCGAAGCGAGACGCGACACCACGGGCCCGAAGAAAGCATCAGAAGCATACAGATCTCGCAATAAGTCAAAGCCAACAACCGACACTCGCATATCAGTGAGCAACAAAGAACGGCGACTCAAAGCATCCGCCACACGGTTAGAAGCCCCCGAGCGATGTTTCAGCACGAAGGTAAACTGCTGCAAGTAAGAGGCCCACGTCGCATGGCGGGCTGAAATGTTGTCCTGAGAAGAGAGATGGCGCAAAGCCTCGTGGTCGGTAAAAAGGATGAACTCGCGCTGGAAGAGGTAGTGACGCCAATAACGAACAGCACGAAAAACAGCATAGAACTCAACATCATAAGTGCTGTACCTCAGGCGAGGGCCCGATAACTTCTCGCTGAAGAAGGCGACGGGCCGCCCATTCTGACTAAGAACCGCCCCAATGCCCACCCGAGAAGCATCACATGAGAGCTCGAACGGGACAGAAAAATCTGGAAGAGCCAAAACCGGAGCGGACGTAAGCTTGTCCTTGATAAGGGCAAACGCCTCTGCCGCCTGAGGAGTCCAGACGAATGTCTTGCCGTGGAGACAGTCCGTAATTGGTGCAGTAAGGGAGCTGAAGTGGGAGATGAAACGACGGTAGAAAGAAGCTAGGCCGTGGAAGCTGCGAGCTTCTGTGAAAGAAGTCGGTGTGGGCCACTCTCGAATGGCAGCGACCTTGCCATCATCAACGCGAATGCCGCCAGAAGAAATAACGAAGCCCAAGAAAAGAACCGAGTCGACGACAAAAGAACACTTCCGGGGCGCCGCATAAAAGCACTCAGTTCGTAAAATCTGAAGAACCGAGCGAACATGAACTAAGTGCTCCTCAACAGTCCGGCTATAGATGAGAATGTCGTCGAAATAAACGACGACACAACGCCCAATAAGGTCCCGTAAAGCCTGGTTCATAACCCGCATGAATGTACTGGGCGCATTCGAAAGACCGAAAGGCATGACAAGCCACTCAAAAAGACCCTCACGGATCTTAAAAGCGGTCTTCCATTCATCGCCCGGGCGGATGCGGATCTGATGATAGCCACTGCGGAGGTCCAACTTGGTAAAGATCGCAGCACCATGTAACTGGTCCAACAGATCGTCAAGGCGGGGAATGGGGAATCGATAACGAACCGTGATTTTGTTGATGGCACGACTATCAACACACATGCGCCATGAGCTGTCCTTCTTCGGAATGAGCAAAGCTGGAACAGCACACGGGCTCAAGCTACGGCGAACAACACCACGGTGTAAGAGTTCCTCCACCTGACGACGCAACTCCTCATGTTCTGCCGGGCTCATACGATAATGTGGACGGTTTGGTAGAGAAGCTCCCGGCACTAAATCGATCTGATGTTGTATGTCCCGCAGTGGTGGAAGGCCCGAAGGGAGCTCCTCCGGAAAAACATCAGAAAACTCATCAAGTAACGGCTGAATAACGGGAGGTGGTGAACCATCAGTCCCAATGTCAGTCCCTAGGAGTAAAAGGACAAACGGGGCCGTCTGCATTTCGCCCACAAAAGCTGCACGAGAGAGAAAAAGAACCGACGAAGAATTGTCAGTAGATAAAGGGCGAGGGGGAGAAGGATGAAGTACCAGTCGAACGCCCTCAAATAAAAAACTGTAAGTGTTGAGGCGCCCGTCATAGACCACCGCACGATCGAACTGCCAAGGACGACCCAATAAGAGATGACATGCATCCATAGGGACAACGTCACACCATGCCGTGTCCCGAAATTTAGGGCCAATCGAAAAGTGCACCAAAACCCGTCGATCCACCGTAACGGAACTGCCACGCTGGATCCAAGCCAAAGTGTAAGGGTGAGGATGTGGTTCGGTTGGTAACTTGAGGCGATCTACGGCATCCTGAGCTACCACGTTTTCACAAGAGCCTGTGTCGATAATGAAACGACACACCTTCCCGCCTACTGTACAAGTTGACTCAAAAAGATTATGGCGTTGGAGAGAAGACTCAGGAGGTGCCCGAGGAGAGAAACACGAACGCCGGATAACCAACGCCTGGCCCACATCCCCCATCAAATGCTCCTCAAATGGCTCGGGCTCCTCATCAAAAACCGGCGGACCCTCGTACACAACCCCACCGTCACCGTCGAAGTCAAAATCCGTCACCAAGGCACGTGAACCACCCCGCCGTGGACAGGCCGCCTGCCGATGGCCACTTTCGCCGCAAGAGAAGCAACGCGGCCCACCGCCCGCTCGCGACCCGTCCTGAGCCTGTGACTGACCAAACCCGACGGCCGCACTGGAAAGCCCACCTCCGGTCGGCAAACCGGAAGACCCTGGTGCGCTGGCATGGCTAAACGGCGCACCACCGGACGCCGCTACACGGGTCGGAACCGCCGCAGATGGTGCCGGCAAGTACGCACGCGGCTGAAATCCAGTCGGCGGAATGGGACGACCACGTTGTTGCTGTTCGATGAGCAAGGCTCGGTGATGAGCAGCCGCCACACTATCCGGCGCGAACATGTTCAACATGTCGCGGATCCCGACGCGCAAGCCGCCAACATATCGCGACACCAATTGAGGCGTTGTGTCACGTATTTTAACACGATTGAGAAGACGATAAAAATCCTTAGTATAGTCGTCCACAGAACGAGCACCCTGGCGCAAATTATGAAGTTGCTGGTACATAGTACTGACATAATTGAAAGGAAGGAACTCGCGCTCGATGTGTTTCCGGAATTTGGCCCACGACCTGATTTTAGGTTTGCCCATCTGCCGTCGTGAATCCGTGAGGTGCAGCCACCAAGCGATCGCACTCCCGCGCAGCCGTGTGGCGACGAGGCCCACTCGATGACTGTCCGGGACCTCTTTGTAGTCCAACACCGCCTCGACCGAGCCCAGCCAGTCGAGAAAATCAGCCCCGTCGAGACCACCGGTAAATTCCGGAATATCCACGCGGAAGGCAGCCTCCCATCGCCGTTCACCGGTCGCTGCTCCCTCATCCCGTGGCTCCTCCGTCCCAAACGGATTATACTCCTCCTCCGTGGCATCAGAGTCGTCACCGTCCGCCTCCTCACACGGCGCACGCTGCCTGCCACCACCACGCGGCTGACCACGACCCCCGCGGCCACCACGCATCCCCCCGCGACCGCCGCCTCTGCCATCGAGCCCGTCGCGGTTCATGCCGTCGCGTTGCACCATCGTCCGTAGAGCCAGCTTGATGTCCTACATGCCCTCCGTTAGGCCCGCCAACTCGCGATCGATCGCCTGAAATTGTCGGCCAAAACCCTCGTTTTGGCGAGTGAGAGAGGCAATCGCAGCATCGCGTCTATCGTCGGCCGGATCGTTCCTTTTGGGTGGCATCGTGGATCGTAGCTGATTCTGATTACCAACTGATGTAGCGCAGCTTCGAACACAAGGGAAAATAAGAGATGAAATCTCAAAATCTTTATTCTTATTCAACGAGTTCTGCGTAATGAAAAGAAAAGAGCAGAATAAATAGTCTCAATCCTACTAGGTTTCCTAACATGCTAAACATGGAAATAATATTTAAACAAATACCAACTAAAATAAAGAAAATAAGAAATAATAATAAAAGGGCTAGGAAATAAATAATTAGACTAATGAAGGCAGCCGATCGTATTTCTGGAGAAACGCCATCGCGATCTCGTCTCCATCATAAATTATAACTAGTACAACACCCATGTATTACATGGGTGGGAACAGTGTCTCATCTCGGACCGTTCATAATTGATTCATAAAAGTGGGATCAGTATCCGGACAAGCCAAATCCAGGACTGTCCTGGACCGCGCCCCTATAATAAATAATCAACATATTTATCGATAATTCGAACCTAATAACGAAGCATGTAATTTTGACACATAGGATTCCGAAGTATGCGTTCCTGCCACATAGGCTCAGCGCGTTCTGAATTAATATATAAGGGGATATAATAATTGGTACTTTGTGTAATAAAACCTCAACTCTCAGCGAATGATATATGGTGCTTGTTTCACGAGTGATTAGCTAAAAAAATATTAATTGGTACCAATTTATTTAAAACCATACGTCTTAGCGAGTGGAGGTATAGAATTGTGGCTCGGGGGGTCGGGGCCGAGTTTATTTAATTGTTATCAAGAATCATATCACTACTCCAAAAACATATAATTCAATCCCAATTATTTCCATTGTTACCATATTACAAGAATTTATTTTCACGATCTCTCAAACCGAAACCTAATAATATTTGGTATCGTCACATAAATTTTTATCTGAAAAAACGCCGATCCAACTCACCATCTAATACTGCACTTTGTTGATATCTTCCACACCCGGTCCTATTGTTCGTCACCAGTACAACAAAAAACATATAATTAATTAAACCCAATTTCCATACAGAAAAAAAAAAAAACACAAAAAAAGAAGTTAATTACAACTCACATCATGCTTGTAGGCGTCGAGGAGTTTCAATGTCTGGTCCGAACAAAGATGGGGATTTGTTTGGCAGAGATCGAGATGGACCCGCGTCTGGTTGTTGTCGTACAAGATGGAGAGAGCTTTTACATAGGCAGGCGGCACTACTTTCACAAGTGGCAAATACTTAAAAAAGACATAGCACGACTGGTCGTCGATTTTGTGTAATTCGAGTTTAGTCGTGGTCATGCACCTCAGGTAATGCTGGACTATTATATCATCCGCCGGAGCTTCATCGTTGCCCACCGCTGAGGCGGCAGAAAATATCAAGGAGACGACAAGGATGATCGTCGTCATCCGAGCAGAGGAAGTCATGTTTAGGGGAACAACGGATGATCAAATACAAATCGATTCAATCAAAAAGCAGCTTAATTAATTAATCAGAGCATCCCTTTTTTGCGTGTATTTATAGGCACTAGTAAGGTGCACGTGCGTTGCACGTGTACCGAATTTTAATTTTAAGTTTGTAAAATGTAGTTTGAAGTCGTAAAATATAGCAAAATATTATTTTTCCCATTAGATATTTTAATAGTTTATGAACATTATGAATTGCTGATGGTTTAGTAATTGGTGTGAAATCCCATATAATAAGTTGGGTTATGCATAGTAGTTTATCGAAACATAAGTTTATTAAGAGATGGTAGTTGCGTTGTAAAGATTTTGAATTTTAAGTTCGTAACATGTAATTTTAGGTTGTAAGATTGTTTATGTGAATTTATGAAAATGTGCGTAGCGTAATCAATGTAAGAAAGATATAAAATAAATAAGTACAAGCTATGTAAGAATATGTAGAATAAATATATTTGAAGGTATTATATTCAAACATAGTTTTATTGAGAGAAGGTAGATGTTTAATTTCATTGTGGAATTAAAAGGAACGTAATGCATAGTGAAATGGTAAATTGAGAACGATAATAATATAATAAAAGCTCATAATCATATGCGTGAAACAATTTTATTTGATGTAGAAAATAGGAATATTAATGCTATGTTAAATAACTTCATGGCTTCTCCTTTTTTATTTCAACCAATTTCTTGGTTTTTGTGTTTCTTGGAGCTGACATTTTCTTGACGTACTTCTTCTTCATTGTTTGTAGAGTTTCTTCATCGCTTGAAATTTCTACGTTAGTTGAGGTGTGGGTGATTCGGTGTTTATTTTTCTTTTGGTGCGACTGTTTTTGAAGATTTCCATCGACATCTGTATCGTTCTTTAATCTCTTCTTGCCCTTTTCCAAAGGAGGGTTAATCTTCTCGATTGCTTCAGCAACAGCAGTTAACTTTTTACCGTCCACCTTGGTTTTGACATTTAATGGTATGAGAAATCTAAACGTGGATGAAGTTTGCAAGCTGAGTTCTCGAAAAAATTTGGAGTTATTGTCCCCCTGGATGATTAAGTTTAATTTGAATGTTAGTTTTAAATAAAATAAAAAAAATATATTAAATATGTTGAAATTAATTTTGTTACCTCCTCAATGGATTTGATGTATTCAAGAGCTGTGCAACCAATGAATGTAGTAGCGGCTTCCTCAAACATAGTTATGGTTGCATTGTGTGTTCCATGGACGACATTCAAAACAACCCTGAATCTACAATTAATAAAATAATGATTAATATATAATATATTAAAAAATTATTTAATAAAGTAAAATTTATTTTTTACGTACCTAGGAATAGTTTCGACATTTTCCTCTTTGCATTTGTTGCAAGTGGTTTTGTAAACAGAAGCAGAGCATTTTGTGCATGCATTGTACCACAAGGACAATTTATTTTCAATTCTATCAACAACTCCTTCGAAACAATAATACATATCCTTGAAAAATATAAAAAAGAAAATTTTAGAGAATATTATAATTATAATGAAATTTAAAAGAAAAACAGGACAATAATTTTACCTTGGATAATGTATTTTTGTTGTCTATTATGGTGCTGAGAGTCACTTGATTTGCCAACTTCATTCTTTCAACCATTGCTAATTGTCGGAGTTTAATCCGATTTTGAGCTTTATCCAAGCTATTTTTGTAATATAAAAATATAAATGTATATTAGAAATGTATGAATAGAAAATTTGAACATACGAAAAATAAATTGTATTTTATTAATAAAACAATATTCACACCATTCTTTCAAAAGGGCTGTTTGATGAGATTGTGGATCTATCTGTATCACGGATGCTACAGTAGTTTGAACTTGAAGTTCACCTAAAATTAATAAGTAATGAACATGAAAAAGAAGTTATTATATTTTATTTACAATAATTATATATACAATAAGAATATGATTAATAATAATCAAAAAATATTTAAGTATTACCAAGGTATGTTTTAGGAGTGACTTGAGAAATTCCAATTATAAGACTATTTGGCATGTGTTCTTCCAATTGCTTCCCTTCATTGGATGCTAAATCTTCCCACAGAGTAACAAGCAAGGGACGCATACTTCATCACCGAAGATTAGTTTAATTAAAATAAGGTGTATTAAAATTAAAAAATTTAAATAGTAAAAAATTTGTTTAAGATAAATATTTTCTTACTCTTCATTGATAAGTGTGATTTCTCTAATAGTCTTCATTTCTCCCTTTCCAGTAACTATCATTTTGGAATCTTTGACTTGCAAAACAATTCCACAAACATCTATAGGAGGTGTTAATTTAATATAAAATAAAAAAATATAAATAAATTATGAAATAGAATATAGATTAAGTTTGATGGGACTAAACCTGCTCCATTTTTGTGAAGATGAAGGCTAAGATCTTCAAAATCCACAAAGTTGAATTTCAATACATTTCCAATAGGATTGGCGGCATCAATAATTGAAGAATCTGTATGTAATACCAATTCTACATCCGGGTTTGGAGTAACAAAAGCTTGGTTTGGTTTTTTAACTTCGCAATTAGAAATAATATAAGTATTATTAATTGCAATTTGTTTATTAAAGAAATAAATTTCATCATTGAATATTATTACACCAATTTTTATTCCCTGCAAAATATGATAGTATTTATAAGTTAAGTTTTATAATTTGAAAAAAAAAAAAATGGTTAAATGGCATAAAAGTTGGTAGCACTACTTACCTCTTCATCAGTCATAATAATTTTGCGGATCCTCATTGAAAGATTTTTCCCGCAAGAGAGGTCAGGTACAATTCGTAGAACTTTTAGGCGTAGTTTGGAATCTTTATTATTTTCTTGCAAAAGTCTCAAAGGTATGGAAGTTTGGTTTTCCATAATTGTCCTGTTGTAGAGATAATAAATATAGTAATAAATTAAAAATGAAAAAAAAAATAATTAGAGGAATTAGAAATGTATAAGTGTGTCAGTGGAGTATATTGTTAGTTATGAGGTATAGGATTAACAACCCCTTAAAAAAATAAGTGTGACTCAAAAAAAATTACACTAACAAGCTTATTTACATATTTATTAGAGTAAAAGAAAACAATCATAAGTGGTCAAGTTTATGAAAAATTGGAAAAAAAACTTAATAAAAGATTCGGCATACTTACTTGAATTTGCTGCACCAAGTAGTTGAAGATTGCAAAAGTAGTTTTGCTGTGAAAAATATCAAGTTTGTATCATCAAAATATAAATAAGAAATAAATAAATAAATAATAATAATAATAATAATAATAATAATAATAATAATAAAATAAAAATAATAATAATAATAAAGTACCTGTAATTGAGGATTGTGAGATTGGTAAGATGATGGTAAGATTGTTGGTATAAATAGTTAATCATGTATATTGATTATTAAATGATAGTGATTATTGTAGAATATGAAAGATTGTTTTCATTTGTTATTGTAATTAAAAAGGAATTGATGACATTAAAATTTTAGTTGTTACTCATTTAAATAGACAATTATAACAATGTAACATAAGAGTTAATTTTGGATTGTTTAATGAAGAAACTATCAGCAGAAAACAATCAAGACAAGAACAACACTACAACTTCCATATGAATACTTAGGGAAAAAATGGAATTGATTGGTACCTGTTGAAATCCCACCACGTAAACTTTGTGGAGAGGAGCAAGTGGATTGATTTTAGGAACAGATCCTGCATGAACCATAGTGTAATCACTAATCGTTGAAGTCCCCACGAAATGCTGAATCGGCTTCCCTTTGATTGAAAATGTCGGTTTTTCGTAACCTGCATTTTCATGTCTGAGAATTCAAGGGATTACAGAATCTTGAGCCAGGAAATTTGTACAAAGAACATTGGAAAAGATAAATTAAGAGGCCAGAAAAGAAAAAGGGAAATGAAAATTCAGAATCACAAGTTGGAAATGGCAAATATATATAGTTAATTTCCTCAAGTGTCTCAACTTAGTATAAATTAGACAGAATATATATATATTTTTTTTTCTGCAATCCCTTTTGTATGGTATATTCTAAGGTTTACAAATGTAAAGAAACACACACAAATTCAATCAAAATCAAACAAATACACAAATTAAAAAAAAAAAAACATAAGAAAGATAAACCCATAAATCTTCCATTACAGAGAAGAAAAGGCAACCCTTTTCACTGTAACTCTTAAACCCAATTGAATAAGAATAAATTTGATACCATTTAATAACTGGGCAATTAACGTTGTGAGTGCAGTGAGTACTCATAGTTCCAAGAAGTGGCCTGCCATTGGAAAAAAATATATTAGCTGCCATTGAAAAAGTGTAGTAACCAATAAGAAAACCATGAACTCTAATAATGAGTATAATCAAATGCAAAAGCAAGATGAATGAAGAATTGGGGTATTATTTGGTATAATAGAATAAAAATATATCTGTAGAGGGTTACAACAATTAAACTATCCAATTGTAGAGGGTTGAAATTGTAAAGTTTTGTAAGTTACAGACAATAAAATGAGCAATTTATGTACTAAATCTATATAATGAATAAAATGTTTACATTATGAAGTTGTTAAGGAAAAATTATAGTATTATTCATATGATGATCACATGGTATTTAGTGTTTTGCATTATTTATATGGAATATATAGGTCATATATCTTCAAATAAATAGGAAAACCATCATGGACAATCAGCTATAGCTTTTATTTTTGTCACCGAAATATTATGTTGAAGCTATATATATACTATGTAAGGGTTTTTAGAATGAAAATGTATATAGATGTATCGAGAATCAATGCTACTAAAAATAGATGATATTCATCATATTTCATATAATCAAATGGAATTTGAACTCAAAGTGTGTGCAGAGAAAATCAAAGAAATAGAAAATGAAGGAGAAGGTACGTCTTAATAACACCATATCCACTGCTTTTCATAATAAAAAATTTTACCTTGAATTTGTCTGTGGCCTCACATATTACATCCCTTGGGTCCCTATACTCCACCAACGTTTCCACCCTGACATACACCATAACATTTAAAATGACTTTATCACCATCCTGTTCCACATAACTCACAAATTTAAATAATTTCTAAATTTTTTTTTTTTTTTTTTTTTTATGTTGTAATTTTCCTATGTAATTCCTAAATTCATAATATTTGAGCACAAAACAGTTGTAGAAAAATCGATTATGAAAATCTCCACGAGTCAGAAAACAAGCGACCCAATGTAAAGCGAGATGGTGCAACCAGCTCCCATTTTCAAAGCTGTTATATGAAGAATGTTAAAAGTTTGGATCTAAAAACTTGTTGAAAATAATCAGATTTAGCAGAGTATATGAAAAAGTAATAACAGACCGAAGCTACCTGCATCATTATAGCATTGATCCGTGGAAATCCCATCCTGCAATACCTCCAAGCAGCTAGTAATTCATCACCATCTTTCCACGATATATAATAATTTAAAAAGAAAAGGAAAAAGGAAAAAAATGAAAGAAGAAAATACTAACCTGAAGCTAGTAAGAAACAAGTTCTTCAAGTAGAACAGAGGTACCCTATATTTTAGTTGTTGTCTAATAACTAATACAATTGAGTGGAATATTTGGAATATCAAATTAGTTTTTAAGATTAGTGCATAAAAATGCCATTTACACAGGAGTTATGAATTGATAACTATCTGATTGGTTTAAGCGAGATAGAAAGAGAATTAGTGTATGCAGTTAAATGTATAGCTTTCAAATAAATGAATGTTAGGATAATTTAAAAGAGGTATGATCACATTTTGTAGGATATAATTACTTATATTAGAAGAAAGGATATTGGTTAAGGTCAGAAGTTGTTCTCCATATTATTTTCTAGTTTCAGATAATTGCCAACTTCATCCCATTTAGCAGGCACCCAGACTTTATAAATGATAAAAATAACAAAGATATGTTCAAAGCACAAAAAGACCAAACAGTAACATTTCATATTCATTTACTATTATCAATACACAAAAATTGGCAAGCACAAAAAAAAGAATGAAACAGCTTCTAACTTTGAATGAAACAGCTTCTAACTTAAAGGGAATACCCCCATTTTCACATTAGTTATATTTTTCATTATGTGTAAGGATCATATATGAAACCTCAACCACAAATGTGAACCTCTCTGGTTGAAAAAACAAAGAATAAAGATTAAGTCATCAATCTACAGCCTTTCAAAGATTCTGCTACTAACCTGGTAAAGATGATAATTAATTTGTGGGCAAGTTTGGTGCACAGTTTAGAGAGGTGCACCCTAAGTTCAAACTGCCCTTCAGGCTCCAACAATATACCCAACTGAAAAAATCCTAATAAATACAAGAAGTTAAAACCACCATGAAGAAGGTACACCTTTACGCTCATTTTTAGATAGTGGTTAAACTTCCTAATGCAATAATCGTTAAGTTTTGTATTTCCAAAAACGCCGTCAGCAACCTCCTTGGTACGCGTCCTTAGTTCATGCAAAGGTTTGTAAAATCATCGAAATGAAGTAAATATATGTTTTCCGGTGAAGAGATACTTTCAGAAATTATTGACAAAATAAATACTTATATGTGAATGTCGACAACATTAATAAAATAGTATGATTTTAAAATATAGGTAAATGATATGCAATTAATAAAATCCTCAGTAATGTAAAGAAGATGGTAATGAAGTGAAGAACCAAATGTTTTAAGAAAGTGAGAAGTATTTATGAATGGAATTAGTTGTAAGAGGACGATAATCATTTTTAGTTAGCAGTTAATTTGGAAAATGGGCAAAGGGAAAATAATATTTGTTTACTCAATTAAATTGAATGCGAATTTTACCAAAAATATTTTGACTTTTAGTGGGTTTTATTTTTGAAAAAAAAAAGATAAGTGTGAGAATTAAAAATTTTACATTTTATTTAATTTTGGAGATATATTTATTATAATATTTTAACAGAACCAATGTGCATACCAGAAAATTGTTTAATACATTACCTTTGATGTGCGGAAGTGGTATGTGTGATTATCGGTTGCTTCGTTGTCCTGTAAGAATTTAGTTGTTTTAGTAAATATAAATAATATATATATATATATATATATAATGGTTACAAAGTAAAACACGTATACCTGCAATAAGAACTTCTTTGTATACAACATTTCTTGTTTTAGTAGTATCTCCTCCATTCATAACGTCTGGTTTAATTAGAAGCTTTGTTGAAGACATTGAAGTACCTCTAGAAAGAGCAACATATAACTGTCCATGCGAAAAGACTGATTGCGGCAAATAGATCCCAACATTAGGAATTGTTTGTCCCTGAGCTTTATTAATCGTCATTGCAAAACAAAGTCGAATGGGAAATTGTTTCCTCGTGAACTGAAATGGGTAACCTTCACTTTCAGCGGGCGAAAGTGGTATTCTAGGTATGAAGACATGTTTCCCACTATGTTGGCCAAACACAATTTCAGCATGAATGACATTATTTTTGAAACCTCGACATACCATTCTTGTGCCATTGCACAATCCATTTGATGGATCTAGATTTCTCAAAAGAATTATTGGACAGTTTCGTTTTAGAATGAGGCTATGAGGAGGCAAACCATTGGGAGTTAATGAGTTCAAAAAGTCCTCTCCGTAATAGCTGTTTGTGTCATCAACTGCTTGATCAAAACTATTAAATGTTTTCGCTTCTCCAGGGAACATGCATATCAAAGCTTCATTGAGTTTATCAACATGCTCATTTTTTGCTGCTAATATAGCTCGACTTGCCATGTAATGAGATGAGTGGGCATTTGTAGTTAAATCCGGAAAGATAGATAATATTAGCTGCAGGGTGGAGGATTCATCATTATCGTAAGGAATAACCATATTATCTGGAACTTCAATGTTACCTTGAGTATCGGATGGTTGTTCACCATTTCCAACTCTTAGTAAAAAATCACTGAAATTAGGATCATTCCTTGATCTCATATTCCTCGACAAAGTTATTTTTTTCATTTTTGGCCACAAATACGATTTAACCAAACTTGCCGAAATAGTTTGATGTATTGTTGCTTTAGGGACAACTGGTAAAACTTGTCTGAAATCGCCACCAAACACGACGACTTTTCCACCAAAATCATTGTTCGTCCCCATCACATCTTTTAATAGTTTATCAACATTCTCAATTGCCCATCGTTTTGCCATTGGGGCTTCATCCCATATAATGAGTTGCGTTCTACGTAGTAGTTCAGCAGCTCCAGTTTGCTTTGATATGCTGCAAGAAGTTGAATCATCTGCGTTTACGGGTATTTTAAACCGAGAATGTGCTGTTCTTCCCCCAGGCAAAATGGCGGCAGCAACGCCAGACGTTGCAGTTGCAAGTGCTATTTTACCCTTTGATCTAACATGAGTTAACAACGCACGATATAAAAATGTTTTTCCTGTTCCACCTGGGCCATCAACAAAGAATATCCCACCATTGTCTTTTTTTATGCATTCTATAATCATGGAAAAAGCTTTACGCTGTTCATGATTAAGTTTTTCCTCAGCACCGTAATCTTCTTGCGGTATCTCAATTGACATTTCATCTTCAACCTCTTTGGGAAAATGATTTACCTCTATTTCTTCATTGACAACAATATCTGGAAGATCGTATAAAGATATACATTTCCCCATGCTCTGAAGAAAAGAATCTAAACTTTTTAAAGTTTTTGAAATTCGTTGTTCAATTGTGCAATTGGAGAATTTCATAAAATCTTCAGACAATGCATCAAAATATGTATCCCAAAGGACCCTCACATCAGTTGGAGAGCAACGTACCAAAATTATTGCAAATAATCTACGCAATTCATTTGGCATTTGGAAAGTGATAGCTTCGTTCAAACATTCCATTACACTAAGATCTGAATCAAGCAATCCTCTTTTTTGGGCTGCTTCCTTGAAACATCTGCACTGTACTCCATTTACAGTTAGTAAATCCTCAAAAGATGTAGGTCCCCTAACATGATTCAAGAGTAATCGTAGGTAATACCTTTCACCTTCAATTGGATTTGCAGAATTTATTCGGCCAATGACATTTTGTTTTATTCTTTTTTTCCAAAACTTCTGGTATTTGTCCCATACATAATGTTGTGGGAAATCCCGGTAAAGATATTGTCGAGCTTCTTCATTCTCCGAGCAAAAAGAAAAAAATTCCGTAAGCATTGTTTTGGAAGAATTATCAGAACTTAGAATATTTTCCAAATTTTGATATTTCCAATAACTTATGCAGTGCTGATTTGGTAAATGAAGAGGCAAATTGATAACCGCTGGGCAAATTTCATTGAGATTAAATTCAAATATTCTCCAGGCAGCTTCTTGGGCTGACACCCATCGAGCATCTTGAAATTGTTTAATTTCATCAACTGATTTGTCATTGTTATCGTGAGATATTCCAACAGCCACACGATCATGACCCTTGTATATATACTTGTATAAGTATTTAACAACAGTTATTCCTGAACATATCTCCACATTAATATGACAATTGTACCTTGACAAGAGATACGGACTATAAGGCACCACCCATTGGTTGTCAAGTTCTGCATTGCGAACTTTAACTTTTAATCCATTTTGCCTTCTTCTGTAAACCGGATATCCATCTTTACCCTGTGTTGTGGTATCACAAAATTTTCGTGGATAATGATATTTGCACTTCCCATCGATCATGCAAGAATTGTTCTTATTTATATCTCCACATGGTCCATGCATCATATGTTTGACAACTAATGCAAATAACTCTGGATCTTCTGTTTCTGATGGAAGTTC